ATATATATATATATATATATATATTCTCTGTATCTAAATACTTCCTTTTATATAAAAAAATTATATATCTAAATATTTTCTCAGTATCGAATATACTAATTTTTTAATATAAAAAATTATCTTATGTTTCTATATTTTCGTTTTTACATGTTTTTTTATAATGGCTGAGGTATTTGATCCATTTAGATAGCCAAGATATATTCGATCTTGTATGATTGATGTGCTTCTAAAAATAATAAATAATTTTATTGATTTTGTCTCTTATCCATGATTATTTCTATAACTAGTTTACGACATATATTGTTTTAGTAATTAAAATGAGATATTCACAAGGAAATAATAAAGGAAAAGGAAAGAGAAAGAAAACTATGAAGCTTGGACCAAGGAGGATTTCGATGAATTGTTACAACTGATAGTGGATGCTATAAAAAGTGGACTACATGATGCTAATGGATCAATTAACAAACTAAATGTGGAGAGAATCATCCTTCCTCGTCTTAGTGCTAAAATTAAATTCCCTAAAATGTATAATCATTACTTGAGTCGAATGAAGTGGTTAAAGAAATATGTCAACACTTATGCGCAACAACTCTAGCTTTGGGTGGGATCCAATTACAAAGACATTCACCGCTAGTGATGAAGTATGGAAAGAGTACTTAAAGGTGAGATTACTTCGTAATCTTTTGAATATATTAATAGTTTACAAGTTTAGTGCATTATATTATTTTCAATATATTAATAAATGTATTTTTTTTTCTAATCTCACGCAAGTCACAAAAATCTTTAAGAAAAAAGTATGGTTGATTATATGAGGATTTGAAGATTGTTGTTGGGGGTAAAACCGCTATAGTGGGCACACTTCCATGTCACTAGACCCTAATGATACTGATGCTACAACTTTTGGAAAAGAAAATGTTGATTTTGGGATGGAAAACTTTTCATATGATCTTAACAATGATGTATTCATAACACCAGATCACTATGAACCACCTTACTAGCCTCCATCACCTCACCCAAGCATTTCACCACCACAACCCCCTTTAAGTTCAAAGAGAAGAAATAAAAATATTTCTATTCACGTGAGATTGTTTTCTTTTTTTGTTAATTATAGGTGTGCAGAAATAAAAATAAACTTCAAATGTAGGTGGAAAATTGAATTGGTGCATTAATTATAAATTAAACTATTATTAATTATAACATTTTTCTATTCACGTAAGATTGTTTTCATTTTTTGTTAATTATAGGTGTGCAGAAATAAAAATAAATTTAAAAATATAAATTATCAATAATTAAAAACAACTTTATATCACAATATAAATTATTTATTATAAATTTAAAAATATAATTTATATAGTAAAAGTATTTATTTATGACAAATTAATTTCAATTTCAATAATTTATATAGGCAAAAATATTTATTTATTATAAGTCATATATATATATATATAATTATCTTCTACAAAAATATTTTTAAGGACTACTATTTAATTAAATTATTTTTAGTTATTTTTCTTTTAGAATAGTGTTTCTTGATATTTTTTCATATAGCTTATAATTCATCATTATTGTTTTCATTTCTAAATTAAATTTCAATTTTTTTAAAAGAATTAATCAATAGTTAAACAAAACTTTCATAAAATAAATTATTTAACACAGAAGATATAAAACGTAATTTACATAAAATAAATAGTACCAAGGCCCACGTCCAAACCACTTAATTTTTTTTTCATGCACCAGTTAATCTCCCAATCTCACTAAAGGCCCACGTACACTCACTAATTAAAAAATTATATTAAAATAAATTTCTCATTATAGGCCACAACTACAAGGTACAGGCCACGTCCAAACCACCTAATTTTTTTTCATGCGCCAGTGACTCTCCCAAACTCACTAAAGGCCCACGTCCACTAAGTAAAAAATTAATTAAATAAATTTCTAGGTTTTCATTCGTATTTCATAAGGGTTGCTGGACATGGATTGCGTCGTTCTTCCCCCAAACTACTCCAGAATCCATATTCACTGCAGCAGAAAACCAAATTCAAGCATTTCAAGTCAAAATCAAAGAGAAACAGAGGTACGTAAGAGGCAGAAAACTTACGATTAACAAAAGCTTCCTCTTCTTGGTAGAGATACAAGGGAGTTCCGAGTTCTGAATGCAAGTGTAAGTTAAGTTCTATGCTTTGTTTTTCACCTTTTATGTCAAAGTTTGAACTTTGAACCATTATTGATCTACTGAATATATTCTCTGAATCCTTGTTCTCTTCTTTGAAAAAGCTTCCCGAAAGTTAACATTTTTTTTTAAAAAAAAGTTACTTTTTTAAAAACGATTCCTTGTTCCACTTTTAAGTTGTCGTTTGCGGATTCAAAACGGAGGTGTTGCGAACGCAACACCGTTACGCTACAGAAAAATTCGTGATTTACGGTCTCACCGCAATTGCGGTCCGATGCCGTTGCGGATAAGGCCGCAATCGTAATATTGCAACCGCAATGCGTGATGCGGTCCGCAATTTAAAACCCTGTTGCAAGTGTTTGACTTCAACCCATTCATCATGCCATAATTTTGTATTTTTGCCATCTCTCACTTTCCATCGCAACATCTCATTGAACCATCTCTTTACATTATCTCCCCGCATGCATAATATAATAATTATAAAAAGAAAATATCATAGTTGAATGATTTCGAACAAAGTTAAAGAGTATCACATTCGAAATTCCAATAAAACTAAATCAATGTCTAACTATTACAACTTTAAGGAAAGCATGCATGTTGTAAGGAAGTAAACTAAAAATCCTAAAACAAAAAGCATGAAACGTAATTTAATATTCCCAGTATCACAGGTATCGGAGTTCTCTCTTCAATCAACTAGACTCCTCCAAAAAGGAAGCCTCTTGCAACCACGTATAAAATAACCACAAGAAAAATAGGAGAATGAGAACATATCTCACTCTAACTAATGGTGTAGAATAAGGTTGGGTAGCCCCACACACAAACAATATATATAAAAATCAATGATTAAACTCAGCGTACATCTCATTCCATCACGATATCAATCATTATATTGTTCAAACAAAAACAAGATGTCATGATCGTACATCAACTAGATTCTTCTAATATATGTGCATGTGGCACCAATAAAAACATTTTTCCTTACTCGAAAGCTGAGTAGTCTAGAAGTACATGTCGGGTCAAGTCATCATAGCACTCTCATTAGAAGGATATACTAACAGAGTCTCGTCGGGATACTTAAACTACATAAGTTACGCCCCATGTACACAATGGGCGAGACAAGGGCTTTCCAAACCAAACTATCCCTTATGACTAATTCCTAAGCTTTTTTACAAGAGAGTTTTCCCTAGCGGTGTATTCTGCATCATATCCATCACAAAACACAAATGAACATGATGCATGAAATTCAAAACTCAATACATTACCACACAAATTCAATTATCACATAACACATCACACTTTATCACATAACAATTTATCACTTATCACTTTCACGTATCATGATTATTTATATACACAAACTACTTGCTCATACACACATACAAGAAGTAAGTTCAAACACAAAATCGTGCCCGATGAAACACACTTTATGCCCAGCACGTGCAAGGCCACAAGCCTCTGGAAGGAATCACACCCGACATGATCCTCCCTACGCTTGACGAGATGCATCCAAAGGTTCTTTGGAGCCCTCGTGCCTAACATGACTACACTCACGCCTAGCGTCAATGATGCCACAAGTATTTCAGGCTTCCACACTCAACGAGGTCAAGCCCACGCCTGGCGTGTCGAGGTAGGAAGCATTTTAAGGTTCCCGTGCTTGGTGAGCCCAAGCTACCACCCGACGCAATATCAGTAAATAGGCTTTTTGCATAATTCGCAATTTTTCAAATATAAAGTTCCTTTGATTTCTAGTATTTTTAATTTATTAAAAAGGGTTTATATAGTCTAATTAATCTCCATTTTAGTCATGCAATTTACAATTATTTTGAATTAATTCCTACTCAAGGTTTTATAAACATCCTTAGGGGACTAAACCCCAAGCGTGTGGTTCAGCGGTAAGGGTTGATCCACGCTTAAGCAAGGTCAGGGGTTCAAATCTTTCCTTGTGTATGCAGCCGCGTTAAATCTTAGGGACAACTATCTCACCCTTTGAGGTGCCTCCAACGTAGCGAGGAGATTAGTCACTGCTATATATATATCCTTAGAGTTTTTTGGAAATCCACAAGCACTCAAATTCACGATCACATACAATCCTTATAATCAATGCACCAATACATGCATATATCACATACAAAATATTAAGTTTCATACAAGTTCATAGAAGGATCAGGTTTAATCTCTCTTCGCATACATACATGAATAACCTACACTACCAAAAAAAAAATTATTTAGGAACCAACAAAACCCGTCGCTATTTCATGTATTTCGGTCGCTATTAGAGTTAGCGACAAAATTAGCTTAGTCATTGTTGGTAACAGCGATCGAATTTTTTTATGTTGCTACTTAGTGACTGAATACAAGCATAGTAATATAAAACAGATTTTTCGCTATAGTATTGGTCGCTGAGCTTGTGTGACCAACTTGCCGACCGAAAAATGTGGTTGCAATTTCAGTCGCTATATAATATTTTTTAAAAATAAATGGTCATTTATATTCAGTCGCTAATTTGGTCACAAAAAAAGCCACTGATTTGTTTTGTCACCATTTTCGTCGCTAAACAAATAAAATTTTAGTTTTAATTCAGTAGCAAATTAATTTGTTAATTTGTTACTAAATTTATCGGTCTCTAATTCAGTCGTTAATTTTAACCCCTATATTTTCTTCTTTTTTTTTTAATTAGGATTATAATTTTAGGTCTATTAATAACTATAACAAAATATTTATCATCAAAATATTAATTTCAAAATTTAAAATACTAAACAATAACATACTAATTTTTTTTCTATAACATCTCATCAATGACAAACAAGTAAGTCAAATATGATGTACTAAAAACATAACGATAACATAAAAAGTTAGAACATCAACAAAGTAAATCTGAAATACAACCACAAAAGCTATAACAAGTAAATTAAAAGAGCATAATCAAAGGTCTTCTATTATATCCTTAAGAGCATCGTCAACATTGTGTTCAAGATCATCTACAGTAGTACTTGGTAGAGGAGAGGTTGGCCTTAAAGGCTCGATCCGGAGGTGTCGTAGAATATATTGCATCTACTCATCATGTTGTCGTATATGCTCTTCCAAATGTTTTTCCTTTGCTTCCTTTGCAGTAAGCTCAACATTTAATTTAGCTATCCTATTTTGCATTTCCTCTATCACTCCTGCAGTGATTAGTGATGCTCGGGACATAGAAGAATGGGGACGTGTGGAGTGGATGAAGTCATCGGCCAATCCAGCAAGCCCATACAAGTTTTCCTTCACATCCTTCTTAACAACCTACAAATAAACTTCATTATCACTGATAGAGGTAGAAGCAGAGTCCTATGTGCCTTCCCCTATGGCTTGTTGTTTCACCTCATTTAAACGTTGGTTATATTTCTCCTATAGTAAATAATGTCAAATATTTTTTGCTTATCCTATTTGAATTCCAAAACTATCTACATTAATATGAGCATCACCATATGAACCATTAACAACATCAATATTCTATTCTTGATGATAGAGAACTTTCATTTGATGTAACATTTAACACATGCATCCCACAAGACAATAATGACATTAAACACAAACTATTTGAACCAAATAAAAAAAATAAAGAGAAAGGGATATGCATCTCACAAGACAATGATGACATTACACAAACTATTTGAACCAACTAAAAATCATCAAGAGAGTGGAGGCAACTATATATACACCATTATTAGCTTTCTTAAACCAAAATATATCCAAGCACTAAACCATGTAGTTGAGAAATTAAAGTTCTCTTATGTTTATTTATAATAATCTAAAATTGAATTTGATATTTAAAGATATACATTCATTATTTTACTACACATTACTTAATTACTTGGGTTTTTGTCTCTCTTTTTTTTCACTTTTTTTAGGGGTTTCACTAATTTGATACCTAGCTCTATGGTTCTATTTAAAACATTATGTCAATAGTATAATGCACAATGTTTTTTTCTAATGTGATGAAAGCAATTACTATATAAGATCATGCATGTTAATTAGTAATGTTGTCACAATTTGTATCTTTCACACACTTTCATTCTACAATATACAATACACACATGCACACAAAGCCAACCAATAATATATTTTTTTAATTTTGACAATGCTGCAAATGTTCACTTAAAAAGGCTAACTTACAACAATGTCACGAACTTTTTCATTGACCCATTCTCTAGTCTTCAACTTCTTTGTCTTTTCTACCAAGTCTCATGCAGTAGGGGGTCGACAAAGCTCCTTAGTCTTTAAAAATTTAAATATCAATTGGTATATCCCTTAAACCAATCAATTATATTAAACTTAAACAAATTAAATAGAAATGAAAATATAATTAATAAACTTACCAACTTCTCAAAGTGAGCTCCATGGAGCCACTAGTGTAGGTTGTTGCTCCATTCTCAACAGCTCGATTTTCCTTGGCGGTGTTGCTTTTATTTTAGAACTTTTCAGAAGCCTAATGTTGGTCTAAAATTTCCCTAAAATTGTCAGGGATCCAACTCTCCTTATCTGCTGACCTTATGCATAGCATTTTTCAAAAGATCGTTGACCCCTTGTGCTCAAAAATCCATTCTTATAGCCCGCTCATGTTGTGGATCTCACTTATACTCTTTCTACATGAAAAATAAATTAGGATATACACTAAACACAACACACAAATTTTTTTAAATAGAACCATGATTAATTACCTAAAACTCTTCAAACCACTTATTTCAAACTGATTCATCTACAACCTTCCAAGTGTGCCATGCTCCCTCAAATTTTTGCTTGAAGATCCCTGAGATGACATCAGTAGGGCCCTTTGCAGGAACAAATCTATTAAAAAAAATAAATTGTCAAAATTATATGTAAACAATGTTATATTAAAAAATCAAATGTTAAATTAAAATGTACATACTTTTTGCCTTTCAAAGACAACCAAATCCTCTAGTCAGATGAATCCCTGGACTTGACAAGGTGAGGAGGAGGTGGGTATTTTGGCGTGAATGAAGCATCTTGTGTTGAAGGTGTGTCCCTTGAAGTAGGTGTATTATGAATTGATTCCCCTACAAAGGTGAGAATTGGTTCTTCTTGAACCGTAGGAAGTGGGTTTTTTTGGGTGGGTACTATTGACTCTGAAATAGAAATGTGAGGGGGAGTAGTACGAGTGTTATTGGTGGTTCGAGCTCTCCCAAAACCACCTTGACCTCTATCACGGGGTGCTTTGCAGCCACCACCTCTACCTCTATCTGTTATCTGAATGTAGAAATTGTCACATATATTACATTTAAGAGCAATTTATTTTATACAATAGACTTTTAGTATAGAAATATTCCAAATTGTTAAGAGTAAACCCAAATTTCAAATTATATAGAAATAGGTGTTGTTATACACAGAGAAATATATCTTAGTCATTCCACATATCAAAAGCATTACAAGTAATTGTGTGTGTAATTTTTTCTTGATACAAGAATTATTTGTGTAATTATTTGTATAAATGGAACAAGTTACAACCACAATTATGCTCATGTAAAGAATAATGATAATAAAGTATATAGGCAATTTTAGTGTATAAATTACCTAAGTTGTATCTGTGTCATTGAAATCACTTTCATTTTCGGTGTCATTGTCACTCTCACTTGATATGTATCTATCCTCTCAATTAATTCGTCCACCAAGTCTAGTTGATCAAAAGATTGTATACCTACTTCTTCATCACCATCAATATCAGCTAGGGATTCATTAATGACTTTCGAGTCAATATGTAGCATGACCTGAAGCCTTACAAGCTCGTCATCCTAGTATGAAACATCTTTCTCTATTGGACTTAATATATTGTCATTTATTCTACTATGAGCCTTTGTCTTGATTATGGCCAACCAATCATGATGTCCCTCAAGATATGGTGTGAAGTAAACTTGCTCTGCTTGTTGTGCAAATATGAATTGATCATAATCCTTATTATACCTCCTTGATTGCCTTACCTCAATAACACCATACTTATTATTTACTCTTGTTCCAATATTAGGAGTATTATCAAACCAATCACACTTGAAGAGAATTAGTTTCATTATAGGCAAGCAAGTATACTCCAATTGAATGATATCAATCAACTTTCCATAAAAATCAGATTTTAATTGACCATTGGTTCCTCTTACCGAAACACCACAATTAGAGGAATTCATGCCTTGACCCCTAAGAAAAGTATGGAATTTATATCCATGGCCATGATTCAACTTTTAGCTTAGGTCCCCATGCCAAATTACACAATAGTGGATCTTCAACATTATTTTTCGAATTCAAAACCTAAAAAAATGTAACAATTAATGTTACACATCATCTACCAAGGGAAAATGTTATTTTAATAACTTACTAGATGTTAACCTACATATTCTTTAAACCATGCAGCAAAATTTGATGAAATCTCTTAGCCAACTTAAGCATTTGAAGTAGTGAGGTTGAGCTTTCTTAAGTATTCAACAAAATACTACAAGGATAAAAAAAAATTAATAAAAGTACACAACCTGACAACATTAACATATCTATATGGATGTTGTATAAAGAGTGAATATTATCTTAATCTAAATATGGCTCAACCTCTTCACAATTTTGAAGAATATACAAGTGAGCAGCTTTAAGGTCCAATTAATCTAAGAAATATTTTACAGATTTTCCATTGGCTTTCCCTAGGTAGTTAAAAATTGATAAAGGAGGAGTAGACAAAGAACTTTCATCCGCATCAACATTAGGAGGCGTCCTGGTCCTTCTATTATCTATTTGAGAAGGATAATTGTAGGAGGCAAAGGTAGATGTTTCCTCCACTAAATAGGCTTCACAAATTGAAGCCTCTACCCTTGCCTTATTTTTTTACCTTATTTTTTAGGGAGTGTAAAAATCTATAAAGAAATATGGATGCATTATTTAAAAAAATTGAAAAAAAAATAGATAGTATATAATTGATAAGTAGTTTTCTACCTCTCAAAAGGATACATCCAGCAATATTGGACTGGACCACCAACCCTAGCCTCGTAAGGAAGATGAATTGGAAGATGCTCCATTAAATAAAAAAAGCTCGATGGGTATATTTGTTCCAACTTACACAATAACACAGGTATCTCATTTTCCATAATTCTTAATTGCTCAACATTCAATGTTGTCAAAGTCAATTCCCTAAAAAAATTACTAAGTTCAACAAGAACTTTCCAAATGGATTTTGGTAATGAGTCGAATGAAATTGGAAGCAACCATCGCATGAAAACATGATAGTCGTGACTTTTCATTCCATGTAATTTTCTCTCTTTAATGACAACACATCTACCTAAACTAGAAGCATTTCCATCAAGTAAATTAAGTTGCTTGACCCATTGACAAATAGCTACTTTTTGCGATTTGGTCAATGCATGTGTTGCCTTTGGCTTCATAAGTTTTCCATGACCAATATATTTCAACTCAAGTTCTTTTTGATTGCAAAGTTCTGTTAAATCCAATCAAGTATTGTTGGTATCCTTCGTCCTCCCATTAATGTCCATCACAATATTAAACACATTTCTCTCTGTGTGCATGACATTAATGTTATGACATAGGTGTGTTTTCTAATATGGCAAGCTCCAAAATTTGCTTTGTTTTGTCCAATTATGTTTATCACCATAATTTGGAGGATTTTTCTCTCCCCTATCTTTGGCAAGTGGTAAGTGAGTAACTTCTTCCATATATTAGGACTAGACAAACATGGAGGAGGGTGTGAGGTCTCAACAACCCTTTTTTAAATGAATGTTTATTCCTCCTATATGGGTGATTGTGTGGAAGAAATTGATGATGACAATCAAAATAAGAGATCTTACGACTATTTTTAAGTGAAAATGCCTTTGATCTATCCATACAAATGAGGCAACCAAGTCTCCCAGCAGTCAACCAACCAGACAACATCCCATAAGTCAGGAAGTCATTTATTGTCCACATCAAAGCCACCTTCATCATGAAATTTTGCCTCAATGACATATCATAAGTTAGTGTGCCATCATTCCATAGAGTACACAACTCATCTGTTAGTGGCTGTAAGTATACATCAATCTTGTATTTTGGATTTGATGGAATTAATATAGTCAAGAACATAAATTCTCTTTTCATGCACATCCCAGGTGGAAGATTGTATGGAGTTAAGATAACCGGCCAACAAGAGTATGTTTTTCCATATTGACCAAAATGATTAAATTCATCTGCACATAAGCATAATCTAACATTCCTAGGCTCTTGACTAAACTCTGAATGTACCTTATCAAAATGCTTCCAAGCTTCTCCATTAGATGGATGACATAAGATATTTAAGTCCCTTTGATTCTCATTATGTCATCTCATGTGAGTTGTAGTGGCCATTGAGGAATATAACCTTTTTAGTCTTGGAATAAGGGGAAAGTACCACATTCTTTTAGTAGGGATCTTTTTTTCAACACCCCTCTTATTAGTTGTTTTGTATCGATCTTCCCTACTAATCTTGCAATTTGTTCTATCTGAATTTTCTATGTAGTACAACATGCACTCTTGAGGACAACAATTCAAAAATAAAAAGTATTAAAATAACCAAAGCATAAGAGTTGTTCAATTGTGTAGCATTGGTCTTAGAATAGATAAAAACTTGAACAACAGAGAAACACCTAAATTTCTAATTTATGCAACTAACTAATTGTTTCTAAAGCATAAATCCATACAAAAAATATATCTATTTATGGCAAGTTATTTTAATAGCTCTAGTTTACTCAACTGACTTCTAAAGGGTATCCAATCAAACTTAAGTAAACTTGTATTGTAAACCTATGATAATACTTGAACCATTTTATAGATTAATTAAATAGTGTCTGAATGGATGTTATTTCTAACGTAACAAAATGTGATGAGCCATGCCCAAAACCTTTCATTTCTAGTTTTTTCATATGCCAGGTTTTACTTTGATTTGAGCCATGCCCAAATTCTTTCATTCCATTTAGTAGATATACCTGTACAATTTTCATATGCTAGATATTTGTATAGTAACCATGGTGCAATTTACCTTACTCTTACAATTGAAATCAAAGTATTAATTTAATCTTTGTTTTCTAAGAATGGTGGGAGGGAGGCATATCTTTTTTGCATGGTGTGTGGAAATAATAATGGAAGGGGTATTATTTCCCTTTATCATGTCAAACACTTTTCCTTGGCAGACATCTCAATCTCCATGAGCCCTAATAACAATCTTTTCTTAACCTTTAACCACTTTTGAAGAATCTACGCTTTGACTTGGACCCATTTGTTGACCAATACAAACAACATGAGTCTACTTTCCAAAACACCAACTCTCAACACAAGTGTTGGAACACCCCATGGCCATTAATGAGAAAGTTGAGAAACCATTTTGATTTTTTGGGTTTCGAGCGTTAGAAACTACAATTATTGGAAGGATAGACTCACAAACTCATATGAGTTTTGCCATGTCAGATCCACCAGTTTAGAATCCTGAGTAGTGAAATACAAGCCATATTTTGGTCTGAATGCAGCAAGGCAACACAAAAGGTGCAAAGAAGCACAGGAACAGTTTAGAATCCTATGGCCACTGGTGTATGTGATCTATGGCCAACAATAACAAGAGGAAGTTGAAGTCCAGTGACAAAGGAAATAAGGGTTCTGTAAGTTTATACAATTGAGATTGTGAGGCTGATCAAAGCCCTTCATGAAATTGGTGAAAAGGATTGCTAATTGAGCTTAATTATGGTTGGTATTGACTAAAGAGTAAAGACCAGCAAATTCCACAATCTTACTCGCATATTGATTTACATATGATCTAAACCAAATAACCAATTTCAAAAGACTTGATCAAAAGAAAATAGTCAAATACATCCCCTGAAAACATCATTATTAACATCCTACATCACTTTTTCTTCCTAGATATTAAAAATTTAGAAAATATATATAATTCCAGCTAACATTTTCCATCCCATCAATTTGCAGCGTGTTATGTAGTTATGTGTACATATCTACAAACTAGATCATGAAACCATTTCCAAGACTCAAATTGCCTACTTCCCATTTATTCAATCATATTACTTTGCTTCAAATTAAAATTAACATATTTTTTAGGAACCATTAGATCATAGATACCAATCAATTAAACAAGAGAGGAACAAAATAGATATAATCATAATAGATAACTCAGACATACTCCACTTATTGCACATATGGATTTGAAAGGCTACAACTTGCTACTCATCAAATCACTATATGCATATACAAGACACAAAGAAAAGTGAAAGTTGCACATACACAACATGTTCGTTCTACATAGAAGTAGATAAGTGGAGGGGGGCTACAGTGTGCGGAGCTGAAAACTGGAAAAGGCAATAATGAAACCCATCTCCAAGACCTTCCTCTACGCACTATTCCACTACCCACACTTATCTTGGGTGGGATATTCGGGTTTAGGAACAAATAAGACCACTTAATGTAGAGCGAATCCAAAGAAATGACGAAAAATAGGGTTTTTAGCAGAAAAGGAAATCATGCCTATTGAACACCAAAGAGTGTGCATTGCATTTTTCGCTTGAGATGATCAAAGTGCTAAGCATGAACTTGTATGCATAACCAAGACAAAATGAGAAATGTGCAAATAAAATGAAGGTAAGAACTGAAAAGGGTTAGGGTTAGTGATAAAAATGGGGGGAAATGAAAAATAATTAAAACTAAAATGGTAGGAACCAATTTTTTCAAGAACTCATTAAATTAAATTAAAAAATATATATGTAAACTGGATTCCTTATCTAAACATTAATCTAGTTTAAAATCTCTAAATTTTTTTCAAAATTTAATAGAATTTAACTTATTATTTTTTTAAAAATTTCATATTTAATGTTTTTAATAATTTTTATTAGAACTTAGGTTATTATTATTTTTAAAATTATTTATCTAATATTAATCCAGTTTAAAATTAATACATAATAAATTTTAGTTAATAAAAATAATATACTTTTAGTAAACTAATTATATAATTTATTAATTAATATATTTACAATAAATATCATCTCGGTCCAGACGAGATCCGCTATCTAATTAGATCATAATTGATCTCAGGCCCAAGACCCAACACAACCCTAACTCACACTAAGGTACGTGCATTACTTATACGAGACATCTACTCATACAAACCCTAATTTTAGCGTCGGAGTCTCTTTTGCAGGTACCACCCCCATCTTGGAGCATCAAGCGTACCAGTGAAGGAGGCTCACCAATCTTACTCGGAGGATCATCTCTACAGCCGATCTCCGGTAAGAACATGTTACATTGCATTGAATAACAATGTGTTAAAACTATCTGGTTGCTACTACTTTAGTTCTTGCTTTGATAATTCAGTTGTGTCTAGCAGCAAGTTCGTACGGCCAGGGGATGGAATTAAGCAGAAATTCTTAAGTTTTGAAGGGGGCTATGACGTTCAATTTTCTGCCACCGATGGATTTGGATCTCTCTATCTCTCTCTTTTTTTTTTTTTTTTTTTGGAAAAATAGTGCATGAATTTATCTTACGTACTTTGATGTCGCGGTGGTGTTTTGTATTATAGAATGGTTGAATCCTAAAACTTTATTGTATGAACTAAAGTTATAGTATTTTAGGTGCTAATTATGTAGTGTAGGTCGTTTGTTTTGTTGATTGTATGCAACTGATGGCATGTGTGGGTATAGTATTTCTCTATTGCTCATAACTATCTTGTCTAAAACTTACAAGAAAAGCTCTCTTGTACGAATTCTTAGTTTAGATCTTCTCTATTTTTTGTTGTCCATTTCCTGTTCATTACTATAATTCTGAGTTAATATTTTTGATTATGGACATTTAATGTGCTTTATATACTTAAAACCATAGGAAATGGAGAGGATCCTTAACGTTACCAAAGCATGTGTGATTGGGCTATAGATCATATTCATATGAATTGTTCATTTTTCCCCCTGGAATTGCGCAAGCATGTGATTGGTATCGATGAGTGTGGTGTATATATTCAGAGCATTAGTTGTAAATATAACGAAGTTTAGTTAAGGATAAAGGAAAGTAAAGATGCACTTCAACTTATGAGTTGAACATGGTACATGTCTAAATGACACACATGTTATTAAAACATAAACATGGCGATTGAAGTGATGTATATTATTCTGATAATAGATTAGATGTCCGCCATAGAGTAAGAGTTGCATGGAGGAAGAGGGGAGCCACACAAACACTTGTTGTGAAGATAGGAATACTCATCAAACCTTTGTAACTGGCCACCCTGAGGTATCTCACCACACAATCGATTATAGCTGACGTTGAACTGCTGCAGGTTTTCCACTTTGGTGAGGGCCAAAGGAATGGTCCCATAAATGTTGTTGTGATTGAGATCAAGCCATATCAAACTCTTGGTGGGAAACTTCAAGGGAGAAAGATCAAACTCGAACAAGTTTCTAGAAAGGTCAAGTATCAGATTAGGGTTGGTTACTTTTGAGAGTGATTGATAAATTCTGAATAATAACTATTGTGAACTTAGTGATAAACATGAGAGGAAGGTTTAGTGAAGTCAAACCCCAACAATTTATAAATATTGCATTAGAATCAAGTTTTGCACTCTAAGTGTTTACCAAAATACCAAAAAGAATTGTTATTGCTTGTTTACATTATTTACTGCAGCAAATCAAACTCTTATTGCTTTTCGGTAGCTTAGTTAGTATAACAAGTGTAATTGCAAAGTGTTGCGCAAGTCCCTTGGGAGACGATACTCATACTTTCATTGAACTACTTATACGATTTGGTACACTTGCCAAACAACATAACAAGGTCCGAGTATGGAATGAGTTCTAACTCATTTGGGAACAATAGTCAAGCTAAAGTTCTAGAAAATCTATCGTTGGCATTGAGACTATAGCTGCCAATTTTGAAAAAATGTCTAACTTGTTGGAGAAAAGAGAAAGATACCAAGAGGCAAAGGGAAATATTTGGAGTGCCATAAAAGAGATCCCAAATTTTGATAATCGAACTCATTACATGGCGGCTAATTTGCTCGATACTAATATATTTTATACTATAAAGACCTAATTAAAAGTTTGTAAAACTATAGAGACTAATAAATTAATTTAAATTTTTAAACATTAAAATATTAAATTTTGTAAGTTAAAAACATAAATATTTCAGTGACTTATCTTTAGTGACTTATTTTAGTGTTAAATATATAAATATAATATTTTCTAAGTATATTTAAAAGAGAATTTTATATTTTTCTAACTTTGCTCCTTTTTTCCTCTTTGAAAAACTTATAGTTAAACAACCTTATATTCTAAAATAAATATAAATATAAATAAAATATATACTAATTATATAATAAATAATAAATTAAATGAAAAAAAAATTAAAAATACTCTCACACAATAATTGACTGCAAGCTACTGAAATTGAAATGAAAAACCTGTAAAACATAACAAAAATCAAAAAGTATAGAAACTTAATACTAATTAACATGAAGGCAAGCTAAAAAAAATTGTTGAAAATTTTCCTTTTAAAAAACTATCAACAGATCTAATGAAATAATTTTAAAAAATGGCAAGCATTTGTTTGATTTAGGATCAAAACTTTTTGTTATGCCCCTCACATGGTATTCAATCCCATGAGGTGAGGGAAAAAAAAAACATTGGTCAATAATCTGCATACCTGTGAAGTTGTGAACAAAAAGTAGTGTTTTATATTTCATTTCTGCACTGAAGAACAATCAAATGAGAACTATATTCAGCAATAGAGAAAAAAAAAATAGAGAAGAACATAGAAACATTACAGGTCCATTAAATCTCTACATCTCCTCCACCCAACCCCTATGTTGTGGTCAAGAGCCTTGTAGCGCCGCGAGAATGAAAGGTTCCCCCCTCTAAATTTGGTGTAGCTCTTGCCCTTTGTATCATTGAGTGAATAGAGATTTGGGATGTGGGAGCTTTCAAAGGAAAGGGATTTTTGGATTTGGGCGGCTTCAATTTTCACGCACAATTTTGATAGAGTTAGGCAGGTTAGAGGTTTTGAATATGGAGGAATTTTACAATGTTTTGCAATTTTTTATTTTTGTTGTGTATTTATTTATTTTAATAACATCCTAATAAAGTGGTTATTCAAATAAGTTATTTCTACATAATAACAAATAGATAACACTTATTTAAATCATTGCTCTAAAAAGTATTTAATATAAAATTAGATTAGATGAGTCATCAAAAATATAAAAAAAAAATTATAATTTTTTGTACTTTCAGGAATTATTAAAACACTTAATTTCACTATAATAATTTAAGAAGAAAAAAAAAGGTTTTTACATCAATAATTTAATAGTCTAAAATCTAAAATTTGTAGAATTATATTTTATATTTATGAAAAATAATTGTATGGTGATATAATATTATTTTAAATTATTGATAAGTTGTTTTTTAAATATAAAAATTTAATTTATAAATAAAAATGATATATTAAAGTTGAAATATATAAAGATTTAAAAGGATTCCTAAAAAAGTTTCATCAAAGAAAAATGTCTAAAAATACTCATATTTCACCCTATATATATAAGGGTGCTTTAGGTTTTATTTCTTTTTACTTAACTAATATTTTAGCATTTGTAATGCACAAGCATGTTTATTATATATAATTAAAATTTATAATAAATTATATATAAAATAAATATTGTGTTTGAATATATAAATTATATTTAAAATTAATATACATAAATATTTTTAAACATATAAATTA